AGCAATGAAGACATGTTCGTTAGGCTGCGTCGCCAATGTTATGTATGCAAAACAGAAGGCTAATTGGTAATAGGACGTGTACTGAGTACGATAGACAGCACAAGTGAGGAGGCTTGTGGAAACGGCCGGGTATATGGCAAGGGGGACTGTCATATGCTGATGGGTGGCCAATCAGCATAAAGACGGTGTGAACAGGGGGCCATGACCTTGATCGTTCGCTTGTCATGCGTTTGTGGCATGATGTCCTGACGGCCCGGGCAGGATACGCTGCATAAATAAATTCTAGTCACTGTTGATGTTCCCTGAGAAGAGAATATCACAGTCTATTTGTGATGTCTCAGCTCTCATTTCGAAAAAGTCCCCTTTTCATATCTTTGGCCTAGTCTCAGTTATTGCATACGGTGCAGTATAAAGTTCGCAATGCCATAGAAGTACTGCATGATCACTTCGAACGAACGGAGGTAGGCAGTACACCTCGTCTATACTGTTGGGATCTTTGGTGAAGACGAGGTCCAAACAATCAGCCTGCTGTCCTCCACGAGCTCTAGCTGGAAACGGAACATGTTGCGTGAGAAGAGCTTCTAGGGCTGTCTTAATACACGGTAATCGAAGGCATTCTTCGAGCACTTGCATGCATATCGCTTTATTGAATGCAAGGTGCATTAAAGTCCCGCATGAGAACAACGTCTGGTCGACGGCGATCTCTTTTATGCTCTCCAGTAGACAAGTATCTGGGTCGGGGTCCATCCATAATTGTCGGCAAATAGTTGCGACATCGAGGGACTGCGGCCCCGTGCTTTTATTGTCATCGAAATGGTCCCTGAGTCGTCGGAAATCTTATTGGTCCTCTCACACTCTGTTAAGTTGTTCTTTACACACATGGCAACTCCTTTACCCTGGCAGCCCCTCCTGTCTCTCCTAAACAATTAGTATCCTGTTAGTGCTTCTTCGCAATCACCGATCTTCTGTGACAACCACGTTTCTGTTACTGCTATAACGTCTGGAGATGTATCGGCTACCTGTATTCTCAGTTCATCGAGCTTGCAAAACAGACTCTGAGCATTGGTGCAAAAGAATTTAAGTTTGCAACATTCGATAGTACTTCGTTCGACTTGTCTCGGATTTGCCAATATTATGTTGCTGCTGCCATCCTAATGACTGGCTGTTCCCAGAGCAACAGCGCGCTTCTCTGTATCACTCGTCCTCTGAACGTAGCCAAGTTGCTCTCCAGCTACAAGTCTCCTCTCCAGCTCCGTTACTAATTCCGGGCGTTTCAGTCGTCCTGCTGGAGAATCATCCGGCTGAAAAACACTTCCTTGTGAGAGTTTTGGAGGCCGCTTTTCCTGGAGAGAAGAAAACTGGCCTCTTCTTTACTGCCCAAAACAATTTTAAGAGTTCGTGGCTGTACAATTTCCGATTGTTCGCTCCCCTTCTTTCCGATCCTGAAGCCTTCGCGAATGGTTGACTTTTCTTTCAAATTAAACATTTTGTTCAGTAGGTGTTTAAATATATCAAGATCAGTGGAAATCCTCTCTTTCAGGGTAGGAGCATTCAACTCTAATAGTTCCTGGACGATTACGCAATGTTGGCGACCAAGATATTGCGCTGTTCTTGTTCCGACCGCCTTGTCAGCTGAAGGCCCCAGGAGATCCACCGAAGTCGTCTTTGGTTTCATATTCTTGAACTAATATACAGCTGGCGTTATACATGAAGTCATTTGGAGTTGGCATGGGATATGGTCATTTGCACAGTTCGAGGTGACACTTAACATGAAACTGGTGGTGCGTTACGTATGAATACAAGTTTTACCTCTCCTAGATTACTGCTCAATTTTCTTTGACTTAGTGACGCTAGATGACCGAAAACAACTAGAAGGCATCCAGAGATGCTTTACAAAATCGTTGTCCGAATGTGATTAAATGAAGGACTTACACTTCCAACTCGATAGTTCGACCGTCGTTGCCGACGATGTCCACCGTAAGATCCACAACAAGGTGGGGCA